GGACTCATCAGAGGTGCTAAAAATTGGCCATTTCAGATGACATGTGATATGTGGCAGGCGATGTTGCCCATCATTAGAACTGTAATATCGAATGCGACAATGGATACTATTGTGAACTGGAAAAAGTGCTTNTCNNAGTCACAGAAAGACATAGATCCGAATAGGTCTCACTGGTTGTTGGAATGTCTTATGGAGGAATCGTCTTTAGAAAAAACTTCGTTCACACAAACCACACGATTGGACATACTACAAAGTGTCCTCAAACAAGCTACATGGCGAAAAACAGAACTGCTGGGTCGTTTGGTAACGCGTTTAGAAAATCAAATAGTAACCAATCTCATGCAAAGTGTTCGCAACACTATCGGATCGATGCTAGTTACTATATTCACGGCCGATCTTAAAATTTCACGCAACTCATTTGATTCCATAACTCCGCGAATACAAACTTTAATAAACAAGATTTTGCCGCATTTAAACCAACTCATAAGGAATGATGATGCAGGAAAATCTAAGAATCCGGAAAAAACAAAAGATATAGATGACAACACAGCTAATCTTACACTTGATGAATCGAACCACATATCTCTACAAGANGAAATACCTANAGNAATCTTGAAAATTGTATGCACGTGGATTGACNGTACTTTCNTTCACANANTGTTNTGTGCANTGCCAGAATTTTATCAGCTATTCCCAATTATATGTGAATTAGGAACTTCGAAAAATGATGAAGAACTCTATAATTTGTGTTTAACCGCTCTAGGAGCACTCGCGCAAGCACTCGTACTGCCCGAAGATATGTCAACTATATTGACAACAGTGAAAACAACATCCGAACATTTATCATGGTCTGTTAGACTTGACTGTTTAGAGTATCTGCAAGTACTGGTCTTTCACAATATGAGCATAATTCTTAGTGACAACACATGGATCGATTGCGTAACAAATATTGTGCTGCGCTTATTAGAGGATGATTGTCTTGAAGTCAGAGAGCAGGCTAGTGAAGTACTCAGTGGTCTGATACACTGCACATGTATCACGGACTATGAGAAATTACTGGCAAGTTTTATCAAAATGTGTTTTCTAATCTTTTTCTCATATACTATGTGATTTATTTTTGTTGTGTGTGTAAGTATGCAAATTTCTATAATGATTATTAATATTTACATATTGCTGTGTTTTTGTAGGAGGAATTTAAAAGAAAAACGAAGACGCAATTGTACGACAAGAAGAAACCTTGTGAAGATGTTTCGGGAATTGCTACAAGTGCGATACGTTTACGTCATGGTGGTGTGCTTGGATTGTGCGCTTTTATTACTGCTCATCCCTATGATGTACCTAAATATGTACCTTCAATTGTCGAACATCTTAATTGCCATATGAACGATCCACAACCTATACCGGTATTTGGTTTCTTTTTTTTATCCATTGTACAAAATAGTTCAGATCTATGTATGTAATCCAGTCAAATGCTATTAAAATGATATGTGAAACAAAAATACACATACACATTTGGTTAGTTAGAAACATTTTATTATATTATAGACGACAATAAGAAAAACTTTGGAGGATTTTAAACGAACACATTTCGAGACCTCGGCTGGAATAGAGCATTGTGCGCAACATTTCACGGATGACCAATGGGACATTTTACAGAATATAACAATATCACTGTCGTATTACGCTTGATTGATGAAGTGACAGTACAATACAATCAGCGTAAAGATATAGGAAATATGAACACTCGTAGGCGGTATTCACGTGCTTAGTTTTTTACGTCCTTATGTAAACTTAGCGATTAAGTGTATATTGACTTAGAGAACCAATTCTCAACTTGCACTCGTCAACAAACATAGCATGCAACAAACCAAAAATCACCTGAATCGCGATACTGGGTTTAGTTTATTTATAATGCTTTTATTTCTTATATTGCAAAATAACTATGCGGTTCAATTAGCTAGTTAGAGAAGAAAAAATATAAATAAAGAAAGAATAGTAAAAGTACACATACGAAAAAAATATAAATATAAATAGAAAAAAAATATAATTAGAGAAAGGACATCAGTAGTACATATTAGATGCTAAAAAGATTAACGATCGAATATATTATTCGTATTTTTATAAATTATTTTAATACTAAGTTTTGTTACTGGTTTTGTACACAGAAGTATATGATGATTTGCAAAAAGTAACTGCCCAATATATATATATGTTCAGCATAGATTTATTGAGACTTTCGTAAAAGACAAAATTATAATATAAAACTCTGGCGAAGTATACTATAATAATCTTTAAAATACAAACAATTAAAAACTGCCAATCGTACTGCTCTACCATACTGCTCTGATATAACATTCTAGTTCTTTAATAGAGCGTAGTTAAGTATATACTACAACGTACTTGTTTATTGCATATATGAATCATGTATAACTTTAGGAAATAATATTATATTTATTATAATATATTGTATAATATAAGATATATATATATATATATATATATATATATATATAATATATACATACATACATATATATATACGAGTATATATATATATATATTATATGTAATTAACTTTGTACATGGACACATGTGTCACAGTATACACAAAATCTCTTCAACAATAATTCCAATTATTACAGTCTCGCTGTTTTTTTTGTGTCAGATCTTTTCACCAGAAAAAAGATCTACCTTGAAAATATTGAATGGCAGATAGTTGGCATGGAGAACCATATATATAAATATATTTATTTTATAGTTATATAATACAAATTAATAATGGAACATACAAAATTGTACATAATCTCCACTACACTATACATCACTGTTTTTCCATTTTATAAAATTTTTTGGAAAGTGTGTAGCTTATCTGTCAATATTGTGTTCGTTGGACTTCTACTGTCTAGTATCTCTATGCTAATGTAATAGATAATTAAAACACTACTTTTAATAAAATGTATTTCTATAACAAATGTAGTACGTTGATGTATTATAATCCGATCAAGTGACATTTGTGTGAATTGCCATTAAGTTTAATAAAGTATAAAAAATTATATGACATATATATGCTGATAGGACGGAATTAGGTCAAACAACACTTTTGTCTCTTACAAAGGGAGACTACGACGTTGTACCAATCGATTTGGAAGAAATTTATAGGATCGATAGATGACTATGTGGAGTATTGCAGGATAAAGTAATGAGACGCACTACTCAAGCATTTGGGATGGAGTGAGCGTTGGAAAGTGAGGGAACGCGAAGAAAGAACGCGAGAAAGAGAAATTCCCAAGCGTGCTTAAATGTTCACCGCAGGCGCACAAATCACCTTGCGCGAGAGAGAGGCCATTACCCAGTAAGCAAAATGCGCGCAATATGCCAGCAGATTGGCAACAGATATACTAAAAAGTTGCGAGCAAATTGGCATCTGTTATGTCCGCATTAGGCTTACGATCTGCTAGCAAAGCTTGCTCACAGAATTTGATAGCAGATTGATAGCAGAAACCGAGCAGAATCTGCTAACATGACTTGACATCAGATTGTCGGCAGAAACCGAGCAAGATCTGCAGCTTTTAGCGATGTATAAAATGGTGCATTTAAAGGATTTCAATATTATTTTTATATTTTTTTAATGTAAAATAAGTAAACAATTTAAAGCAATATTTTTATTATATAATTCTTACAATGATTTTTTTACATATTATTGCGCGTTTTCAACTTATCTACTAAATTATAATTA